GGGGGGGGGGGGGGGGGGGGGGGGGGGGGGAAGGGGAACAGGAGGAAGGTTGGGAGGGGAGGACAATAGGGACGGGGGAGGTAAGGGACAGTGAGGACAGATGGGAAAGGGGGGATGGGGGGAATAAGGATAGGGAAAGTTCAGGGAGGGGTGAGGGAGGGGTGCTGACGTTGAGAATGGTGGACGCTGAGTCGAAGGCGTTGGGGAAGGGGTGCTGGGGAGAGGAGCTCCATGATAGATAGAAACAGGATCCCTCCCGATCCAGGCACACTGTGATGTCAGGACCGATAACGTCGATATTAATGATCGGGTATTCACGAGCCCTACTGACCTCTTCCGATATCTGAGGGGCATCCTACGAGAAAAGGCCATCAGCAGGCACTGAACCGCATGGGAGGCCCAGCCGCATGTGCGCGGAAGTGGAAATGTCAACGTTAGGCTCAGTAGTCTGTGGGTAAAGAAAGCGAGACTAAGTGCGGCAAACTTCTGCAATGCTCTTAGTGACCAGGAATAGGCACTGGGTATTTGCGAAGCAGACGGGACTCAGCGGCAATGCTGAATGCGCCACTTGGGGCTCAAAACATCTGACCATATAGCTGGTAGGTGTCCGCGCTAGTTGTCTAGTCTTTTTGTCGAGAGACACAAAAGCGTAGCGCGGAATGTCTGTTTCACGCTTTGCCGGTGTTACAGCTTCCCCCAATCCATTACTGCAATCAGATTCCAACCGCACGCGAAAATAAGTCGGCAAAAATCCTTTGGGACATGGTGCTAGCAACAGGAGCCCCATTGGAACATCGAGGGCCAGATATGGCCATCTTCGATCACCACACATTCAAGATATTCGTGGTGGAGGTGAGTGTGGCCTATGCCACCGGATTAGTGTTTCAGCGTTGGTTCAAAATTAACCGGCACACTGTCAATTTAACCGTTACTGAGGACCAGACCCGTGCAAGCTATCCGACCGGCTTAGTCTTATTTTAGATGTGCGTACTCAGTATGCGCGAGAATTGATATTTGTGCAGGTGGTCGTTGGTGCGTGCGAGAACTTCTAACGACAACGAAAACCGACTTCCGTGCTGCTTTCAACCTGAGGTCTGACGAGTGCAACAATAGCCTGAAGAGATTGTCTCGATCGGCGGTTATCGGGACGTCACGGATTATTAAGAATCATCTGGCTGCACACTAAAATCAGTGCGTGGAAATATACATCAGACGAGGATTATCCAGCCAGCATGGATAAATCGAACGTGGAACGAGGTACGAACGGAGAAATTCTTGATTCTAGCCAAGGGGCGGAGAAAGAACTGATAGTCAAATCTCATATTCGAGGAAACGATCTATCGAACGATCTTTTTACCGTCTTCTATCTCCGAGGTCATAACACTGCATTTTTACACACACACATACATACATGCATCTGTAATATACTCCTCAAATCTACGTATTTGGTGAGCAAAAGTGGACTGCTAGAGTATACACTGCTATGGCATAACTGTGCTATAGCAAGATTGTCTAGCACAGGATCTCAGCTGCATACCGCATATTTAGAGGGTTCGCAGGTCGAAAAGCTGGAGGTGGCCTAATGGCCAGCAGTGATGAGCGAGCAAAGTGACGCGCTGACTGGATTAACGAGATTACCACTGTCCCTATTTACTATGTAGCGAAACCAAAGCCAAGAAAACGGACTTGGCAAACATAGAGGAGAAAGAAGATCCTGTTGAACTTGACTTTAATCCAACTCTGTGTAGAATAATGAGAGGCGTAGCACAACTGGAAGGCATTTCGCGGCCAGTGAAATACCATTGCTTTCTTCGATTTTTTACTTATTTGATAAAACGAGAATTGGGACAAACAGTCTCGAAATTTTCGATTTAAGAACAGCCACTCGATGGCCGTACGACTGCGCCGAAAACAGTGTCGGGCGAGGAGTTTGACTGGAACGATACATCTGTCAAAAAGTAACGCAGGTGTCCTAAGGCTAGTTCAGAGAGGACGGAAACCTCTCGTAGAGCAAAAGGGCAAAAGTTCGCTTGATCTTGATTTCCAGTGCGAATACAGACCACGAAAGCATGGCGTATCGATCCTTTTGAATTAGAAAGTTTTTAGCAAGAGATGTCAGAAAAATTACCACAGGAATAATTAGCTCGGGGCAGCCAAGTGTCCATAGTGAAGTTGCTTTTTGATCCTTTGATACCAGCTCTTTCTATCGTGCGAAGCAGAATTCACCAAGCGTTGGACTGTTCACCCACCAATAAGTAACGTGAACTGGGTTTAGGTCGACGTAGACAGGTTAGTTTTACCCTATTATGAAAAGTTGTTGCGACAGTAATTCTGCCCAGTACGAGTGAGAGAAACCGTGGGTTCAGTCATCTGGTTCATTTGCTTCACCGATCGGCCAGTGGTACGATAATACCATCTGAGGGATTATGACAGATTTGGACTAGGTCAGAATCCCGTGACGTGATATGCTGCAAAAGCGCACTTCCCCTTCAAACTTTGACGCGGTCGTACGCACTTCACAAGCGTGCGCGAAAGCTGAATTTGAAATCTTTATGCACATAGAATATCCCTACATGGTTTCAGCTTTGTACCTTGCCTGGATCGCGAAATCGTTTCCCACCAAAAGAGTTTGCATATTTTGGAGGGTGTACCGTACGCGGGGTCTAGGCGCGTGTGAGGGGAGATCTTAAAACGGGAGGCTGACAAATGGGGTAGGAACGTATACCTAAACTTTCAGCCTCCCAGTTTCCCTAGTTGTTAAAATGAAAGTGGGTGACAAAATGCACTTGCTTCCGATCACACACACACAACGCACACATACACATATATATATATATATATACATATACATATATGTATATATATACATATATATATATATGTATATATATGCAGACAATCTCTCGATAATATGCACTTTTGCAGACTGTAACAGCGGTATAACGCTGCTATAGCATGCACAGCAAAAACTGCTATAGCATGAGTAAATTTGTCGCGAGCAAATTGGACACCGGTCATTGCAAATCGCCCTCTGATCTGGCCGAGCCGAGCTGAGCCGAGATTTTTCCTACTTTAAAATACCTTTCTATTAATTCACGGTAGCATAAAAAGCACAAAACCAAAGGAAATACATGTAAAGGTAACAAAAAAGAAACACAGACAACGAACAAACAAAAACAAGAAGAGGAAACAAAAGAAAGCAAACAACCGGAAAAAAAAAACAAAAACAAAATGCAGACGAAACAGAAAGAAAAGAACCAGAAAGCAAAAGCAACAGAAAAGCCAACAAAAGCGAATGAAAAAAGAAACGCAAAAAAGCAAAAAACAAAAATTGAAAACATAGAAAAACAGAAAGCAAAACGATTAACAAAAGCATACGGAAAAAAAGGAAAACAGAAACAAAAAAATAATTGGCCAATGCACATGCTGCCTTTGCGAAGATGCGTTTTTTGCATAGTTTCCCGCAGTTTTCGTTGCTACCGGCATCGGCTTTTTCGGCAAATGCTTCTAGCCAAACAAATTAAGATTGGCTGCCAGAACTGTCAAAAAACATGCCTTGAAAATTTCAGCTTTTTAGATTCCCTGGCTCCTGAGTTAGTAACTTAATGGAAAAAACTTTTCACGGGCCCGTACGTGCTTACTACGCATACCCGAGAGTCGAGTTTAAGTTGAATGAAACTTGGGTGGACGGAGTATATCTACTTAAAATTACAGACCTCTAGCTTCTTAGGTCCTAGAGTTATGAACTTACCCGAAAAAAAATTTAGCGGGCTCGTAAGCGGGTACCACAGTTACCCGGGGGCTGGTTTTGACCTCACTAATACCCATTTGGGCCGGGAACATCTCCCCATGATTTGAGCTTTCTAGCTTCTCAGATCCCCGAGTTATGAATTTACCAGTAAAAAACTTTGGTGGACCCGCATGTGGGTACCACGCGGGTAGTGACGTCCATTTTTGGGATTGGGGCTCGTACGTGCATGCAGGTTAACTTCCCAAAGTTTCAGCCCTGTAGCTTTTGTAGGTCTTGAGATGAAAAACCGTGACAGACGCACACACGGACACACAGACACAGACAACCCCTCGTCAATATGCATTTTCTGCATTGCATAGCTGCAAAAAAACGCATTAAAACTGTAAATATTATTCATCCCTAAATCCATATCTTAAATAAAAAACCCATTTATCAAAATTCCCCTTT